GGAAAGGCATCCAAGGGGACTTCGGCCTCGTAGTGCTCGAACCTGCACTGCTCACCCTCCTCCTTGGATATCCTCCCAACCCTCCCTGTCCCTGCTTTTTTTTAAAAAAATACCATAACCATTCAGAAATGGTAGTCCAAAAAGGAACAATGTCTCCTTCCTTCCCTACGAAAACAGATTCAAACCCGATCACTCACATTCAAGTCTAGATCGGAAGGAGGCTTCGGTCCTTCCAAAGTGAGCCCCGAGGTATCATGCTTAGTCTGAGTAGCTGCTACCACCAAATTCCCTGTTCACAAACAGTGTCCTATGTTACAGAGCTTGATGACTGCAACAAGAAAAACCGTGATGGAGTGAAATACCCATATGAGGGGATGGATTCATTAGCCATGGAAATTTTATATTCAGGCCCATGGTTGAAGAGAAACTAGAGATTTTGTCCCAGAGGGGAGGTGACAAGATGTGATGCCTGGATCCCATTCCCAAGTAATCAGGGAATGACTTCAGGACCAAGAGTCAAAGCTGAGAGCTGATCTTCAGCCGAATCTATGTGCTGTCTTCGGTCCAATGCATCATCAGTCGATTGTGATGGAAAGATTTCTTTTCAAAAATAAAATGCAAAGGAAATAAGCAGAGGGAGAAATGATCACCTTCAGCATTGGTGGTGGTAGACAGCTTGAAGCTGACAACAAATTCTGGGAAAACATGTGTGTTCATATTCATGTTCCAGACTACATAATGCCTTGGATTCTCGACATCATCAACTCCATTATCATACTCTTCCCCTCCAGCATAGAACTGTGCTTTCTCACCACCAAGAAGCTCCATATTCCCCATTATCACACGGCACAAAACCATGTGACGCACACCATTTTCGTCAACATCACAATGTCTAGCACTGTAAACAAGTTAACCCAAATCGACACCATTCTATCTTAGACAGATGCTTAAACAGAAGAATCGTTAAAAAACAATAAACTCAAGGATGGAAAAGAAAATGAATAAGATGCAAATCAAATGCCAAGGGTTTAAACAGAAGAATTGTAAACAATAAACCTAAAGGATGGAAAAGAAAATAAATAAGGTGCAGATCAAATGCAAGGGTTTTAACAACAGAGTAAGATCATAGAGCAAACACCTGAAATAAGGGCAGCTTGCATCGGTCAGATGAATCCCAACGCCGTACATGGACTTCCTAATGAACGACCCACCCTGTCGAAGCCCATGCATCATAATCGTAGGCAACACTTCCTTCTTAGCAGGAAGCCAGCCATATCTAACGTTTGCATTCCCTCGATGTTTCCTCGTGATTTCAACCTGTTTCTGGAAAAGCTCTAGACGAGCCTGGGTCATCTCGCTAGAAGAACGGAACACATCAAGTACATCTACATGTCCAAGAGCAGCAGTACCTAAAGCAAACATTTTTTTCACTGCACCAGTGTTGAGCTCCCCAGCAGCAGGCTTGAGCCCAGAGACCACATTAGCCTCGGTCTCATCCCACTTCTCGACAGCATCACCGATCTTACGGCTACAGCTATCCACTGCGGTCTCATCAAATTTCCCGATCACAGGTTGCTCAACGATTTGAATCTCGTTTATGTTGCTACTAGACTCATCACTGCATTCACTTAGATCCAGCCTTGTCGAATCCCCACAATTAACATCGATCTCAAGCCGTAGCCTGATTTCGTGTGGAGCAGAGTGTTCTAGATCTTCCCGATATTTTTGGCAGCAGTGGTCATTCGTTTCGACATCGTCATGGATCTCAGGGAAAAAGCATTTATCTCCATTGTCGATCCACGCAAGTGGGATCTTTTGTCCAGTTTCCAAGTCTAGTCGATACATGTGCAAGAAATCCAGAACAAAACAATGATCACGCCACTGAAACTCGACTGCTGCTTTCTTCTCTTGCAGATCATTCCTGATGCCACATAAGATGTCTTCTGGCAAATCCGTCCACTCACCGTCCTCATACAACATTACACGCTTTGGCACTCCAGTCTTCTTAAAATAAGAATAGTATCTGATCGAAGCCTTGCCGAAGTGCTTCTCATAAATGCTAAGTTTGTTTCCACTGTCCAATTTTCTCCTTTTCCTGAGCTTTGGCGTTGACGCGTTCACCGTTGGTAGCTCCGTGCATGAGGCTCCAGAAACATATGCAGCGTAGTTTGCTGAGAGCTTCCTCTTTTTTCCAAACCCATCTCTATCGCTACTATCCAATACCTTCACGATCTTGGTTTCCATTACTACCTATTAACAATCCTAAACCTAGAAGCTTGAAGAAAAAGTCAACTGGCACATCTAACTTTCTAGCAGTCCTAAAGATAGTGTCTCACAGAGCGTTGGAGAACACTGCACAGAAGAAAAGTAGGTATCGTAAGACGATAAATAATTGGAAAATCAAAATTAAGTTTATAACCCATTCTCGAAAGTCCTGCTCCAGAAACACATTATATGACAATCGAGCGACAATATAACTCTCCATGAACAACCAAATCAATCAACACAGTCGAAGTGCAAACTTAATGGCCATTCAAGTGCAAATCGACCATAATCTGAAACAGGTAATCATGAAACTTACCCAACTCTGTGGTTAGACCTGATACATACACGTGTGTTCATCTTGGGCATCTTCCCTTTTATAAAGTAAAGACAATCAGAGAAGAAAAGCCACCGTCTTATTCAATTTACGGCGACGGGCAGCACATCCCTGTCGGACAAACCAACAAACAAGTATTTAGCCTCCAATAGCATGAGCCAACCATCTGGCAAGGTAAATATCAAACAGAACAACTGCTATGTAAACATGAACAAGTCACAAAAGGGTCGATTGAAACAAGTTTGAAATCTTAATTTATTAGTCATGCCAAAAAAAAAATGCAAGGTTTAAATCATCTCTAACGAAACCGCTTAAGAAAACCGGCACTTTTATATACAAGTCGACCATATAGATGATTAAGTAGTTTGGGCAAACCCAAAGTATGATTTTTCTGACAATATTTCCAAAAATCCCACTCTGGTATCAGGAACCATAACAAAAGCAGATCACAAGCAAAATCCAAGCGCTTTATCCAAAATCAATTAAACATAACATATCGGTTACCAAATAAAAAACCTAACCAACTTTCAAAAGGAATCATAAAACAATAAATCATCCTCAAACACAACAATAATCCACTCTAATCAAAATCGAAAACCTTCAAATCGCAAAGAACCACACGAATCTAGGCCGATCTATCATAAATTCAACACTTTCACAACAAAAAGCCCAAATAAAGGTGCACCAATTCAAAAATCGGAGACCAGCTTAACGGAATAGCAAACCAGAAAATAGAACCAGAGGAATCGGATGAAGTAGATTCGACAAAATTGAACCTGATGAACGCTTCTGATCGATCGCGAGGCAAGGGTTCTCAAACTAAGAGGGTCCACCGAGGGATAGATAACCATCGAGAGACGTCAGAGAGGCGAAAACCCTAAGCCGGCGACGACAAAGAGGAAACAGTTACAAGGAAGAGAGCCCATTTATATATCCTCGGCGAGGATCAGATTGGGGGGAAAAGCTTAGTCGGCGGTTCCCTGCTGTTTCCTCCTCCTCTACCAAAGATTTGCTTGGACGAAAAGGAAATCCAAGAGTTATGATACAATTACATAACGGTGACTTATCCTCCGTCAATGCTGAGATTTGATTGGACGGTGACGAATTTATGAGACGGTTGTACACTTGGGTAGATAGATACGATAGAATAAATATTGAACGAATATAAATGTATTGACAAGTTGGCCCAATAAAAAAAATAGATCGTAGCTTTTCATTAGAAATGTATATGTGTACACACACATTCATTGCTATAAAAGAAGAAAATTTTTTAAATCAATAATTTCGGCGTGAGTGTAGTTACACTTCAAATTGTTTTTGTATATTTATACGAAATTACAAATTATAATTCCAAGCGAGTCATTATATATATATATATATATATATTTATTTTAAATAAAATAAAGATAAATGATTTTTTTATGGATAAAATAAATAGTATTAAAGAGAAAAACAAAAATATTTCAAAATATTTTTTATTTATTACTTTATCCATTTTCAGAATTAATTTTAAAAATACTATTATTACAATAACAAACATTATAAATAAATTTAAATTTGGATTGAAATATATTTGTGGATAATTTCAAAGGTTTAGAACGGGTGTATTTAAAGATTAATAACCTTTTAGGATACTTTTTGAAGAAAAAAAAACTTTTATACAGAACCGTTTTTTTTAACACGAGATAAGATGAAAATCCTTGCTTTAAAAAACGACGACGAATTCTTTTTTTTTTTGTAAGGACGAATACTTTTGTTTGTAAATGGAGCAGCGAATATTCCATTTATCATTTTCTATGATATGCATTTTGGTATTACAACTGTGACCTGTCTCTGTATATTACAAGTCGGAAGAAGTAATGTCCGAAAACTCAGACCCTCATTTTTGCAGCAGCTTCTTTGATCTGTTCGATAGTGAAAATGCCGAAGAAGTCGTTGTCTTTGACGGCATTGATGGCAGCGAGGGCCAGGTCGTCGACGCTTACGGGCGGAGCCAAGAGGATATCCGACGCCGGAAGTGAACGCAAGGGTTTGACGAAACTATCGGCAGCTTTAAGGATCTTCTCCAGCGGCTCCCCGACCACATCGAGAGGGATATCGATACCGTCCACTCGTCTTTTTCCATATATGAAACCGGGTCTCAACACAACTCCTGTAACAATCGACGACGAGATCAGATGGAACCACATCAGTACGTCTCTTAGTTTCGGATTGTGTTTTGAACAAAAGTGCAAAAGCGGGTGACTTAGGGGTAGGCATTTTTACTACCCGTTACCGCGAATAGGTGGGTAGCCGTCTCACGGGTATCTCGGCGGCGAACGAGAACGTTGATACCCGTTACCGCAAACAGCGGGTACCCATCTCATGGGTACCGCTACCTGGTAGCAAATCAGCAGGAGCAGGGGTGGGAAGAGATTAGGAGCTCGACCCGTGAATTCGGGTGCAGGTTTTGCCATCTCGTGATGGGTTACATGCGGCCTGCGGGTACATGGATGTACGAAAGACCATTTTACCCCTCACGGAGTCACGGTTATAGCTATTGCAAAAATAACTAGGTCTATTTTGGTCAATTCGGATCAAAATCTGATGGTTATCTCCAGTAAAATTTTGATGATCAACTCCGGTCAACCAGGATTTGCAGGTTTTCACAGGTTTGGATATACGCAAGTACTCGAGCCATGGGTATCCGAGTCTAACGAGGTCGAGACTGAGATACTTCGACCATAAAACCCGAGGGGACGAGGTCAAGATCGAGGCCAGGTATCCCAAAAACTTCTGTCTATCTCTAGGGGTGTGTCTCAGATTACCTGAATTCGGGTATTTGGAAAGAACTTCAGCCTCGGCCTTGCGTTTTCCGGTGAAATATCCGCTGGAGAGAAGAAACGGTGGAAGATTGTAGTCATGCACAGTGATCAATATGAACTTTGAAACCCCTGCAGAGATGGGAAAAAAAAGATTGAAACGAAACACTGAGAATGACAAATCTACTCAAAGCCATGAATGAAGCTGTTGATTATTGTTGTCAACATATATCTGATACTCTTACCGAAATCTTTAGCAGCAGTTACAGCCGCGACGTTAGCCTCTCCATTGATTCTTCTCATCTGTTCTTCGTTCCCGAAACCTCCAATAGTCGAAATCACAGCAGTTGCACCAGGAAGCACTTCGTCCCAATTCAAATAGAAAACATCACCTGCACGTTACCACGCACAATGATAACCAAAATCCTCACCAATGCTTGATTCATTATTTATGAACAGAGAAATATGATTGGCTAAGATGCTGAAATGTTACAATACCATTTACCCACGAAACTTGATCTAACCACGATCCTTGCAAACTAGGACGGCCCGACCTGAGACAAAAAAAAAGAAATTTCAGGATTAAACAGAACCAATCAAACAGAGATTTTAACTGTTTATAAAAGGGTTTTGAGGAAGACACCTACCTGCTAACGCTTACGACCTCAATCCCTTTGGAGACTGCAGCCTTGCAGATTGCAGATCCAACGAAACCGTTGCCTCCTAAAACCACAACCTAAAAGAGACAATCTTTCATGTTGAGAAGAAATCTATTGCACTATCAAACACGCATTGAGTGAGTAAAATGCAGCGAAGAGATAGATGCTGTGCTTATACTTCTTACTAGGGGTGGATTTTTCGGTTCGGTTACAACATATAAATGTACCTAAACTGAATCCAATATTAAAAATCAAATGGGTACGATTCTCTCAAACCGGATCTGAACCCAATATGAAAAAACCGTAAAAACCGGAAATTTCTTTGAAAAATAAACACTTTTTATCAATACAAACCGAAAATGAGCCGAACTAGAACCAAACTAATGCAAAACTGAATGAATATAGTTTTTCTAAACGAAAACCGGAATGTCCATCCCTACTCCTTACCCGTTCAGATTTGACATCGGCCACAACGTCAATTGGGGCGGATGTAGAATCGCTACTCAGACCAGCTTCTGCATAGCTGCATTTAACAGAGTTGAACAACCTGCAAAATCAGAACCAAAGTAAAGCTTCATTCTCCATTAAGACAGCATCAAAAGCTTCGTTCTTCACTGTCAAAATACTACACTCTCAGCTCAAGAACCACACATGGGCATAATAACCAAAGATTTCAGCAGAGTTAAGCAAACCCATGATTCCAAAATCCTATAATCGGTAACCTACAGAACTTTTTACATGCTCATGATGCCACAGTCCAGAGAGCTTGAAGAGCGTACAATTGGATCAAAGAGTAGTTCTTAGCCTTCTCATTGATGAGAGAGATAAGTCAGACTTCAGCGGATATCGCAAAATTCTGGAGGGGTACTTTGATTGATTTTTTTTAGAGAGAAAACCATCAGACAAGCGGTTAAACAAGTTTTTTTTTTGCGTGAAGGGAACATTTGATCACTCAGTTCTCGTGGATTTGTCATAAAACTGATATCAAAGTTAAGTGTGAAACACTGCAATAGATCATAAAATCACAGGAAAAAGGAATTCGATACTCAGGAACAAACAACTTGATCAATCCGAACCTAGAATTTCAATTCAATTTCACGAGAAAATCTCTCACCCTCAACCACATTCAAAACTTTCCAAATAAACCAAACAGAGAGAGAGAGAAAGAGAGAGAGAGAGAGAGAGAGAGAGAGAGAGAAACCGGTGCGAGGAGGAGCGAGGAGGAAATGAAACGCCGGAAGAAGCAGGAGGGAGAGGAGAAATGGCCGGAAAAGTGAGAGACGACATCATCTTCGGCGACTTCTTTGACTCGAGAAGCGTGGAGAGAGAGAGACAGAGAGAGAGGAAGAGAGAGAGGAGTTGTGAAGGAGAATGTGTAGAGAAAACAAAATATCAGACAATTAGAAACTCAAACAACACCAACAACCCGAAACGACGGCAAGCGAGAAAAGTGTGGTCGCCCCACAATCTCCAGTATTTCTTCAATCGAAACACTTATTTTTTTTCTTCCTAAAACGTAAAACCCCCTGATGTTTTCAAATATTACATAAATACCATTAGGCGTTTTTAAAAATTCTCTCCCCTTTTCTCCATTCGTGAATCCCTTCCCGTCCGTACAACCACCGCCTCATATGTGGTACATGCTAGTGTACATGTGAATGTTCGTTTTTAATTGTTCTAAACCAAACCAGCAGTGGGTGCACGTGGGCTTTCAGATTTTAGATTTCCATGTGAATTTAAATTTGTAATTTTCTGGATAGATTTTTTTTGTTGTATGTTGATTTTTGGCGGATGTTGTTGGCCACTGAATTGGTACGAAAATAATGCACTAACGCAATTTTCAAATTTGTCCGTGTCCTACAACTTGAAACGACGACGTTTGTAAGTTTTAGATTTCTAGAGTAGGCCCAAATATTATGTTGTAGACCCAATTAGCCCATTTATTCAATGCGATGTTGTACGTTTTAGATTTCTTAGAATAGGCCCGAATATAATGCTTTGAGGCCCAATCAGCCCAATTGTTACTTCGACGTCGTTTTAGGACTCGGAAGTGCTTTTGACTCCGTTTTCTTTCCCTCGAGACTTTGCACTTTGCAGTGCAGCGGACTCGTGAAGATTGAGGAGAGGCAGAGGAAGGGGAGAAAAGGTTTTTGAAGTCAGCGAAAATGGCGAGATCCACTAGTAAGGATGCTCAAGATCTCTTCCATTCTCTTCGCTCTGCTTATTCCGCCACTCCTACCAATCTCAAGGTCTGTGATTGTTTTCTTCTGTTTATCCCTCGTTTTGGATCAGTGGATTTCTCCGAGTTATGTTGAAACTGAAATCGACTTTCTTTTTTTTTTTTGTGGAAATCGTGTTCGCAGATCATCGACCTCTACGTCGGTTTTGCTGTCTTCACAGCTCTGATCCAGGTAATCCGATTTACTGTTTTTGTTGTTGAATTGTTCACTAGATCTGCGCTTTTCGATACGATTTGTGTGGGACATCAGGTTTTACTTTGAATCATTGTAATTGTTCATGTGTAAAATTATCAGGCATCCGTCCAAGTTACGAGCTTCGATCTATATTCATATGAATTGGCTTGAATGCTATACTATTTCGCAACTTGCTTAGATTTTGTTGAATCAGATATGTGTGGCATTGATATTTAGACGGGAAAATGTAGCCACAAACCTTCAAATTTAGCTGGGAAGGTTTTGGATTGAGGGGTTTTAACAGGATAGCTTTGACGCTAGAATTGACGACTTTTCAAGCAATTTGCGGTGTTGTATATGTCGATTTAGTGAAGGTTTTTTAGCTTGTAATAAAGGATCTAATTCATTATGCATCGTGTTTTCAGTATTCTAAACTTTCACCACTGCTAATCCGAGCTGATATTGTTGAATAAAGTTTTTTTCATCTCCGTCTTCTCGAATCTTAACTGGTTAGCAGAACTAAAAAGTCAATGTCCTGTACTTTTTTAGTTTATTTCAACCAAAGGAAATTCATTGACGAGCAGTCTAACAATTCTTTTACTTTTCGAGGCATCATACAGAAAACTCCTGTTAGTTGACAGTCTCAAGAGGGTTATCTTGTTTTATGATTATTAGGTTGCATACATGGCTCTTGTTGGATCATTTCCATTCAACTCGTTTCTCTCGGGAGTTCTCTCTTGTGTTGGGACAGCAGTTCTTGCTGGTGAGTTCGGTCTGCTACCAAACATGAACAAATATGTGCTGTTTGGCAATCTCTACCCTCCAAAATATCTGGACACTAAAGCTACCAATTGTTATCTTTGCCAACAGTTTGCCTCCGGATTCAAGTGAACAAGGAAAACAAGGAATTCAAGGTAACATCATCAACCCACCTTCCCTTTTCACGAGTCGTGAAAGAGTCCGAAGTTGTTTTCTTATTCCTTCAGCGATCAAATCCTTTACTTTTGTCACAGTGGCATTGTGATTTTCCCCGTCTTCTGTCATATTTTATTGATATTTTTTTTTCATCAACAATCAAAGGGTTCTTAGTCTCTTTTTTTTCCGGCAGTAATCAATTAAATTTGGGATTAAGACGATCTTTGTTGTTGTTATTGGTGGTGGGAATCAATTACCTAAGAAGCTAGTTTGTTTTTTCACTCTAATACGGAGGCAATTGACAACCAAAAGGCTAAGATAGTAGGGCTTTTTAACAGTTCCACCTCACAGTGATTCTGAACATCAGTTTGTTCACTTCACTGGGCAAAAAGCTCGTGCCTAAGAACGTTCGTTAGTTTTTTTTTTCTTTACGATTCATCCAAATCATATAGACGTGTTCTGTAAAACATATTTTCGTCTCGGCTATATATGTTTTCTAACTATTCAAAATATCACAGGACTTGGCACCGGAGAGGGCATTTGCGGATTTTGTCCTCTGCAACTTGGTCCTCCACCTAGTGATCATGAACTTCCTCGGCTAAATCAGACATTTTCACAAGGTAATGGCACCAAAGAGAGAACGGTGGGTAGATTAGATAGAGAGAAACAGTTGCTTTCATGCATTTAAAGATGTGGGGTTTTTAGGTGTCTTCTTGGAACATATGCATACGCATTTAACTGTCATAGTTTCAGTTATTTATAAAATTTTGCAGAGAAACATGGTGGAGTTGTCTGTCCTGAAATCTGATTGATCTATTCTCCAGCTTTGTCTGCAGGATCTCTCGCATGTCACTTTTATGTGTTCTGTTTTGCAACGTGGTCTTGTTTTTCCTTTTTTTTCCCATTTGCTTTGGATAATATTTCACGTATTTTGTTGAACTGCATTATGGTATGTTGTCAACATTTAAGTTAGGGGTGAATACTTCGATTCGGGAATTTAGTTTCGACTCTTTCAGTATCGAAATTGTATCGGTTCGAACCAAGGGATGGGCACAAATACCCGAAAATCGAGTATCCATCAGATATTCGTCTCGCGGATATCCGATTTTAGAGTACTCTTAATTTTCAAATCCAAATCCAAATCCAAATCTGGTTTTTCAATACCCGTGAATCCGAATCCAAATCCGGATAATAAAATTTTTAAACTGGGTATCCGACTAGTATGATTATAAATAATTATATCATATATTTATATAATATTATTATAAAATATAATTGTTTTAAATTAAATAATTTCATATTTTTTTTAATATTTTCTTAAAAAACTAAATTTATTATTATTTATCTCGTATTATTGTCGTCATTCATCTATTTTTATAAATATATCTTCATGTTTTGAAAATTTTATATATAAATATTATTTTTTTTCTTAAATAAATCCGGATCTAGATATTCGCGAGTAACCGACTATTATTCCGGATATCTCTGTACTCCGAATACTCGTAAATCCCAAATCTTGAATACAAATATTATAATTAAATATCTGAATCTTCTGTACCCAAATCCAAATATTCTAATTTTTTCGAGTATTATCTACTATATATATATATATAAATATTATAGTTCAGTATTTATTAGATATCGTTTTGAATGAATCAATATTAGTATCGAATTAAACCTTTTAATATTCGGTTATAGTTTGGTGCAATTTTTATAAATCTGAAAATATCGTTTTTGAACCGCATTGTTTGAATACCTAATCGAAGACCGTAACGTACACATCCAATTTAAGTGTTTCATCCCTCGGGTAAGCACTTTTTTTTTTGTTTTGTTCCCCGGCCCTACCTTTGTCACTTTTTGGAAATAAATTAATAACCAAAATCTGGTAATTATTGAAGCTACTCATGTTAACGTCATGAGGTGTTTAGTAAATTAGATACATTAAACCCTAGACCGGAAAATGTCGTGTTGACCTACAAGATTCCATTATTTTTAATATTTGGAAAATGCTACATGATTTGATTATGACATTAACATACGGTCGTTCGTTTGATTGTTACAAGAATCTCCTTCTGGATAATAAATGTATGTATGCACACACAAAAATTATATCCTATGCTCAACAGAAAGAATATGATTAGTGCAACTAAATATGGTTTTTTTTTTGTATTAATTATGTTAAAATCCTTTTTTGTTTTCTGGAATTGTTTTTTTTCACTTCTAATGGGGTATTCATTATTAGACTATTAATTGATGGTAATATTTTTCTAAAGCAATTTAATTATTTAGTTAATACAAAAGGAGAAATGATAATTTTAGTGAAAAAAGGGAGAGAATTCGAAAAACTGGAAGGACGGTTCTCTCGGATAAATAAAAGGAACGGAGCAACGTTCCTTTCAAACCTCTTTTCGGTTCAATCACGAAGCAACGTTAAATGACTTCTCTGTCCCTCGCGTTTTCCTCCGCCGCAGCTACAACGGCTTCCGTTAGGTTTCCGGCGAAGACGCTCACTTCTTCGAGTGTCCGCGGTTTTTGCTCCTTCAGATTCATCGATCGCCGGCCTGTTCGTTCGCGAGCGTCGTCTTCTCTGAGCGTGAAGGCGACGGCGAAGCTCGTCCAGGAGAAGGAATCCGTCGTCTCGGCGAGCTCCTCGGATGGAGAGGACGTGCAAGAGAGACGGAGGAGGAGGACGAAGGAGCTCGACCATTCGCGTGTCTTCCTGGATGCGCGCAGTGAAGAAGGTTAGATCGTTTTACCGAGTCTTCGTGCTTAGGAATTTGATATCTACGTGTTTGGCTTCTAGTAGACATCAGAATAAGGACCGAGCGAAAGTTTGGAATATTAGGCGATTTCAGATTCCTTATCCTGTTAATATACTTTACCACCATACCAAACACAATCTCATTGTATAGTATGAAACATAGAGCTTAATGGAACTATCGTTGGGCTTGTTTTGAAATACTTTGAATGAGAACAGTGCAACTGAATACATTTCGTAGCCATCATACGCGTTCTATCTCCCTCTTGTTTGACTGAAGAACAGAACAGAGTTGGCCTCTTCATAGATGATGTTAGCATGAGGAAACGTTCGCAAGATTACCTCTAAAAAATTTTAGGATTCTCGCCTGATGGGTGATAAGGTCGCAGATAACGTAGGAGATTCCTGGTGCCTCCTACCAATGCCAAAAAAATGTAATCATGTTTGATAAATTTATTTTTAATCTCTTCTTCTTTTCTACTATGCTTTTCCTTTTCAGATCTTTTGTCTGGTATCAAGGAGGAAACTGAAGCTGGAAGGCTGCCTCCTCATGTTGCATCAGGAATGGAAGAATTGTATTGGAACTATAAAAATGCAGTAAACGAATATACTCAAACCAATCCTTTGTCGCTGGCTAGTTTGTGTTGTTGATGTTAAGCTATGGCGATCTAAGAGAATAGTGCCAGCCTGACCTGCTATATTGGCATTCAATGACTGTTCTTCTTCTCGTACATGGCGTTTTAGGTTTTAAGTAGCGGCGTTTCTAGGGCAGATGAGATTGTTTTATCAAATATGGCTGTTGCTTTTGATCGCATGCTTCTCGATGTGGAGGTATTTTCTTTTGTTGCCCCTATGTCAATCTCATAGGATCAAGTAACATGCATCTGAATTCTGTGTATATCTATCTAAGCTTCCATGTCATAATCATGCAGTGATTTTTTTTTTCAGGATCCTTTCACTTTTTCTCCATACCATAAAGCAGTCAGAGAGCCATTTGATTATTACATGTTTGGTCAGACTTACATCTGTCCTTTAGTTGATTTCAAGTAAGCTGGCATTTCAGCATTGAGATATCAAATTTGATCATGTAGCACATTAATTTCATTGAAAAGCATTAGAAAATGAGTCTGTTCTTCGAAATTTTTTGTGAAGTCAGTATCATTTAAGCTTTCTATAATCTTCTCACCGTCTTTTGTTTCATCTGTTAACAGATCTTAAATTGATTCTTGCAGAAATTCTTTTGTTGGAAATGCTTCTGTTTTCTGTGAGATGGAAAACAAACTTCGGCAGGTTTCGTTTCACCCTCACCCTTTTTCTAGTCTGTCATCGTCATTCTTTATTGTACTCTAATTAACTAACAACAGTGTTCTAGTTGTATTAACACTGCGTAGGAGTTTTGCTCCGACATTTTGTTTCCACCAGTAGACATGAGTTCTCTTTCTTTCAGGACATGACATACATGTGGTAATTGCAGGGCCACAATGTTGTGTTGATATCAAACCATCAAACTGAAGCTGATCCCGCTATCATTTCCCTGTTGCTTGAAGCAAAACATCCTTATGTAGCAGAGACCATTGTAACCTCTCTTTCTTGTCCTGAGGCTCCCTTTTAAAGTCATTGTCTGCGCACTTACATTTTTCTTCTTCTTTTTTTGTTGGTTCGCTGCAGAAATGTGTGGCTGGTGACAGAGTCATCACTGATAATCTTTGTAAGCCCTTTAGCATGGGAAGGTACTTCTGACCTGATTTTTGGCAAATGCTATGCCTACTTGTTGGCTGATGTGTAACTAAGCAACCTTATGCGAACTTTCTCCTGTTTGTAGAAATCTCATCTGTGTTTACTCAAAAAAGCACATGTATGATGATCCGGAGCTTGTTGAGATGAAAAGAAGAGCAAACACACGAAGCTTGAAGGAGATGGCGACCCTGCTAAGGTATATGCAATTTTAAAACTTGGATCGAAGCTTCTGGAACTATTCTTGTTAAATTTTACAGAAGCAGAAAACGATGATCTATATACGATTCTCCCCCTGTAGGTCTGGCTCCCAACTTGTATGGATCGCACCAAGTGGTGGAAGGGACCGCCCTGATCCTTTTACCGGAGAATGTCATCCTGTAAGTGTTAGATGGAATGCAGACAACACCAAATCTTATATCTATACAGCAACCTAATGCGACTTCATTCTGATTCAATTATATAATACCCATGTATTTGCACTTATCTCAGAGTTCAAGCCTAAACCTTGAATATTCCATGTTTGAAATACTTGATAGTCAAGATCTCTATGTAGATTTACTTACGGATGCCGATGATCTAATAATTAGAAAAAAAATGGAAGTTTATACTTGATAATCAAGTTTCATTGTGCGACTTGCGGTGCTCTTTTTTTTTCGTGAGTACATTATATTTGTACATACTGATCTAAGGAATTCAGGCACCTTTCGATTCTTCTTCGGTGGACAACATGAGGAGGCTGGTCGAACATTCAGATGCTCCTGGGCACATCTATCCGTTGGCACTGCTGTGTTTTGACATCATGCCCCCTCCACCTCAAGTATGCCCCTTCTCTTCTTTCTCGGTCGTGCTCTTTGCTTTTGTGTAAAATTGTTATTCTCATTTCCTTCCTTTCATTTTGCCAGGTCGAGAAAGAAATTGGAGAGAGACGAGTAATTTCTTTTCATGGTACCGGGTTATCGGTTGCCCCCGAAATCAGCTATTCGGATGTTGTGGCCAATTGCAGTAATCCAAATGAGGTTAGATGTAGGAAAAATTTCAGTTCTTGTTACCGATCTCAATCATTTTGCATAGTCTTCTGCACCATTGTGTATAATATTTGAAGAGAAAAAAAAATCCTCGTTGAATGAATCGCAACTGATGTTGCTTTGTCTCCCTATCTCTTGTAGTAACATATCATAAAACTATAGAGGCTAAAACATATATTGGTTTCTAATCATTTCACTAACATTAGCTTTTTACATGGCAGGCGAAAGAAGCATACTCGCAAGCTCTTTATGAATCCGTGAAAGAGCAATACGATATTCTAAAACATGCAATCCATGGGGGTAGAGGGGTAGAAGCATCAACTCCGACTGTCTCCTTGTCACAACCTTGGAGGACTTAGCCAACGCATGTTCTCCATCTCCATCTTCCCACTTCCATCTTTTAGGTAAGACCCACATCCATGTGGAGGGACATGTACTATGTATATTTCCAAGTTGGCTGGAGGAAACATCGCTGAAAGAACAACTGATAACATCATCACGTTTAGTTTTTTGTTTGGTCCATCCTCTTTAACGGGTAACACATGGTGTTTCCATTTCTGCAGGTTTCACCAGAGATAGGCGCAGGGAAATTTGTTCTTGTTCCGTACTGTTTATTGTTAGTGTTCTCTCGTTTTGACGGGAAAACCAGATCGAGGGCATACATGGAATGGATAATCGGGTCGGCCTCGTCCGTTCCCACCGACCAGGTGAGACCAAAAGGCCTATATTGTACATACATATTATTGGAATACTTCACTCATGCTATGATTTTCATATTTAATTTCTTTTTTCTTTCTTCATGTCCGCGTAGCAAACTTGCATTTACTCCCTCGTTAGAGTTTTTCTTTTTGTTTTTACCATTTATAATTTAATTTAAAAGGCGATTCCGTGTCTTGATATATAATGATCCGGTCGGTTCAACGGATAGTCAGTTGTGCAAATTATTTGATTGAGTTGGGCATCCACGTTGCAACGTAGATGAGCGAATGAACCAAGCCAATCACATTTGGAGCGCGTGATATCTACTCGCGTGGGGGGTGGGGGGGGACATCGGCCTCGGCCCTCACGAATCTAAAAGCCCAGACTTTACAAAAGCTTGGGGAATTTTTTTTCGCTGAATCTTTCGTCTCTATTATCCTTTCGCACTCGCTATGGACAGTAAGTCAAATCACTCGTCCGAGGAGCTAAAAAAAAATACACAGATTTCATTTGACCTCACAAGAAATATACTAACTACACCTTTAAGCCCGAACATTGCCAACTGCTCAAACCACAGTTTCTTCTTCTTTACATTACTTGCAAGACACGGAACATATAGAGATAGAGAGAAGAGAGAGATGAATTTTCAAGCCTTGAGAAAATGGTACTTGGACTCAACATAGCTCTCGGCGTCCCATAGAAACGACCCGAAAGCAACGGCTTCCAAAACAAGCATCGCAAGCCCAGAGAAAGTCAGAGAAAGTACCTCATCGTTCGACGTATTGAGCTTCCCGTCCTCTAGAATCCGAATGTCGGGTCTCCCGAAAAGCGCCTGCGTCTGCCTCTCGATCAGAGACATTGCTTCTTTCGATCTTATCGTCGCGTACCTCTGAAGTGTCTCTGGGTCTAAGTACATCACATAAGATCTCAATCTGTATGAACTTTCTCCTTCTTCTTCTGCTTCTCTGTCCATTGCGTACTCGTCCGGGTCATAATCCTCGGGTTGGATTCGGATTAAGGAATCCGGATCCCATAACGGGTATGGAGGTGATGGTTCTTCATATCGTTCACGAGTTTTTTCTTGACGCTTTGATGGGAGAGTGTTCATTTTTCTCTCGAGTTGGTACCTCTGATCAACTCTTCTGAGGAAGTATCCGTACATCACGGATGCAGCGTACAGTTTCCCGAGCTTGATTTTGCTGATTTGAACTATGGAATTCAAGGGTCCGACCATTCGGTCTCCAAGAACCAACGTCAAGTGGCTCTGTATCATTTCGAATGCTTCGGCTGAGTGAACTGCTTCGAGCTTCTGTTCTTGATTTGGCCAGAAGTCGACTCGTCCTGCTGGGTCTGAAGTCTGTTTTATCTGAGGGATCATCGAGATTTCGTTTTCCGCGAATCTTTGTACAACCAAACAGTAAAGGATTTCCTCCAAAGTTTTCCGTCTTTCCTTCTCTTTAACTTCAGCTATTCTCCTACAAATCAAGTATCCCACCATAACGATCTGAAATTACCCCGGCAACTAAATTTCCCCATAAGCCAAGTGATTCATCCTCATACCCAATTTGAGTAGCAATAAACTCAAAAAGAAATTAACCGGGGTCAATATAAACATCTCTGACAAGTTGGAAGCCGGTTTTGTGTCAAGATCAGGTGAAAACTTAATGGAGATGGCAGAAATTATTAGTTCCAAGCAAGTTCAGCGTACAAGAATTATGATACGAGACTAAAAAGATGCAAAACCCATGAGAAGAAACTTACTTGTAAAGAGGGTCCTGAGATGAAGGCAATTCATTTCCCCGAGCTTCCTTCTCATTGGCAAGATTCTCGAGCTGTTGATCGACAGTGATGGGTAACAAATGAGGATGAGTCCTAAGAATCTGCACCAAGAGCTGCCCGACCGGAGATTCCAGCTCAAGTGGAGCAATCAGATCCGAGTTCTCGTTGGATTCTCCCGATGCTCTGACAGTGACGCCTCTTCCTCTGCCATTGTCAAATGCAGCTCCAAGCTTTGGAGCACAAAATGAATGGCATCTCTGAAGAAAGTTATCAGTATCAGTACCTGTAGGGTGAAATTCTGTGTATCCCAAACTTCAGACCTGAGCTTGCAGACGTTCTCACCACGAAGCACATGACAAACCATGAACAAATAGATTTTGTAGGTTTTCAGGGAAACAGAGGAAGATTCATGGGATAGAAACTGGAAAATTACACCCTCATACATCGGATACAAACGCTAAGCTCAGTGGACGAGTGGATTAACCTAGAAGAAAGTTGAATTTCGAGAACAACAGGAAAGTTCTCGAAAACAGTAAACCATGGACATCCTTCTAATCCAGAGAATCATGAACGATTTTCCCGGGAACCGAACATGGGAGGAAGAAAGGAATTACCTGGGGGAGAAGTGACGGAGAATGAGGAGGAAGGAACTTGGAGGACGAATCGGCGAGAGAATGGAAGGGATTGAAGCTCAATCCGCCATGGCTACCCGCCGATGAACCAACGACTTGCATTTTCTTCCTGGCTTTGGTTTCCAACGTCTTCGGGATTTTTCTCGGGAAACAAGCGCTCGATATTCCCAGAGAGATGAGACCGGGGAAATTGTGGCTGTCACTTTACAAAAACAAAGCTTTGGGCAAAAGCTGAATGGAAAATTTTTCCTCTACATTTTTATTTTCTGTGTAGATATTTCAGCCTATTTTTCTATGGATAAAAGAAATCTTAAATAGAACCATATTATTATTTCCTGAAAAAAATGAAACTGTTTAAAAAAAATATTACGAAATTGCTTATTGGATTATAAATTGAGAACACATCGATTTGATTACCATTTCTTCTAATAAAAAAAGAACATTCCATCATTACACAAACCATGAAATATCACTTCTACACCTTAATATATATTTCTATCAAGTCGTTAAAATGTTAAAATTTTTGGGCAAACTGGAAAATGAAAATGAAAATAAAAATTAGATTTAGAAAAGAATCCAATTATTTTGTTTATATTTTTGGGAGGGATATATATATATATATATATATATATATATATATATGTATATATGAGACACCAAAACCAGAAAATCAGCCAATTAAATATATGTATGTAGTTGGACTTTGAAAAGTTAGTGGGTATATGTTAAGTATTTCAAGAAATTGGGTACTATAATGAAATACTTAGGAATTTAAGGGGAATAAATGAAAACAATTGTAAAACATTGAACAGGAAAAGCTTTCTCCTCTCGCCGTCTTTCCGTCTTCGACTCTCTCTCCCCTCTGCGCAGCCAGCCATGGTGTCCGGCTCGGACCCAGCGGAAGAAGAAGCAATACGCCACAAAAACCTAGCGGAATCGAATTTCAGAAAGTCAAACCTGGAATCGGCCCTGAATCACGCGCGAACAGCTCTCCGCCTGTCCCCGAGCACCGAGGGTCTCTCCTCGATGGTCACCGCCTTCGAGATCATCAGCTCCGCCGCCGATTCAGTCGCCGGAGATTCCCCAGAGTGGTACAGGATTCTCCAAGTTGAGCCTTTCTCTCACACGAATACGATAAAGCAACGGTATAGGAAGCTGGCTTTGGTGTTGCATCCTGATAAGAATCCCTACGTGGGTTGCGAGGAGGCGTTTAAGCTTGTGAATGAGGGATTTAGGGTTTTCTCTGATAGGATTAGGAGGAAAGAGTATGATATGAAGCTTAGGATTAGGATTCAGGAGGAGAGTGCTAGTGCTGTAGACACTGGTGGTGGTGAAACGTCGACGTTTCGGACGGCTTGTTCGGGTTGCCTGTCACTGCATAAGTTCGATAAGAAGTATTTAGGGCATAATTTGATGTGCCCTAAGTGCAAGAAAAGCTTCGAGGCAAAGGAAATTGAGAAGGAAGAAGAGGGCAAAGATGGATGTGACAATGGAGCTTGTTCGAGAAACAAGATCATAACATATAGGAGGAGGAAAACGATCGGTATCAAGGAGATGAGCGAGCAGAAGGCAGAAGCTCCAATTCAATTAGAGGGTTTGGATGAAGAATCCGGGGAAGGAGATGATGAAGGGATGACTTTAGCTCAAATGCACTCGATAATAAAGAGAAATAGGGCTAATAAGTTGAAATCGAAGATAGACGAGAAATATAACCGTGAAGAAAACATGGAAAGGGATACACAAGAGAAATCTTTAGAGATTTTGATGGAGATGAGTGCTAACAAAGAGAATGGAAAAGGAGAAACATCGAAGAACGGAAAGAACATGACGGATTTGACCGAGGTTGTGGATTTAGAGGCCGAGACAAGCGTTAACAGGAAAAGGAGACGGAATACATTCAGCCAAGAAAGCGAAATGGATGAATCTGATTTATATGATTTTGCAAAGGACAGGACAGTAAGGAGCTTCAAGAAAGGGCAAGTTTGGGCGATGTACACACGCGGTGGTGAAGATAGAATGCCTAGGAGTTACTGTTTGATCGGTGAAGTTTTCTCCTTGAACCCTTTCAAGGTACAGATCAGTTGGTTGAAATTGGAGAACGAAAAACTGATTTCTTGGGCGAAAACCGGTTATGATAATCCTTGTGGGATGTTTAGGGTTTCCGAGAAAACCCTGGTGAAACAGCTCAAACCATTCTCTCATGTTGTGGACTGTGAAAGAGCTGCACGAGAAGTATATGTAATCTATCCGAGGAAAGGCTCGGTCTGGGCAGTACACACGAAAAACGATCCAGTTTCCCGAGGAAGAAACGACAGAGGCTATGACATTGCATTGTGCTTGACAATGTACAGCGATACGTATGGCCTAAGCCTGGCGTATCTAGAGAAGGTCGAAGGGTATATGAGTCTTTTCAAGAGACGGGAATTCGGGTCAGAGGCAATCAGGTGGCTCGGGAAAGACGATGTCTCTGTGATGCTCTCGCATCAGATCCCGGCCAGGAAGCTTCCGGAAGATCAGTCCCCGGATGGTGTGAAAGAGTGGTGGGTGATTGAT